CTCCAGGCTCATTTGTACTTCATTAACTGCCATTGACTTAACAAGATTTATGCAAATGACACCATAGGAGCTCGCTAACTCCCACTGCAATCAAGTGATTATGTATGTACAATTCTCCACAGCAATGAAAAATTAATACATGACAAGCCCACTCACCGCTGAGCTGAGCTTCTTGCTTTTATTTTTTCTTGTTGTGCTTTTTTATTTTAATATGCCCTGCTGATAAAGATTTAGCAAGACCACAGAAAACAAAGTATCTTCCCAAACTCTACACACACACACACACAGCCCCCATCCTGGAAAGTACGTCACCCTAAACTCTACAACTTAATACATGCTTCAAAATATTCACTCAGGCTACCAGATACAAGTCTTCATTCTCAGAATAAACCGTTTTGAACAGAAGGTACTCCAAATAGAGTAAGCCATTCACCCTAAATTTGCTTTGAGGGTAGCATGAAAAATACTACAGAAAATAGCTTAAAGTATTTTCAGTTTAACCGCCTCTTTCTCAGAAGTACAGAACTTTCTATGGATTTTAACTTCAGGCTAATACATACTGTTCCAGACATCTTCTGACTCCATTTGATTAGTTGAAGATATTGAAATAGCACAGAAGTGACTTTTTTTCTTTTTTGGAAAATGATGGCATTCACAATTCCCAAAGGATGCTAAGAGCACAGGATTTAAGGCATACTGGTACCACTACACATGCCGAAGGTGTTTGTACCTCCCCAGGAAACTGGCCTTCCCAAAATTTCACTCACCTTGAGTATTTGGGCAGAAGTTAGCAGTCACATTTTAAAAACACATGTGCTTTTCATTGCCTACATTTTGGGTTTCTGCTGGGAGCAAGAAGGTTTGTCAGAACAGTTTTATATGGCTTAGCCCAATAAAACCGTATTTAGCACTGCAGTGAAAAGCCATTTTTAACATTTAGAAAGGACAGAAAGAATAAGAACATTAACTCCTTTCGACCAGATTGCTTTAAGTTAAGGAAAGAGCCCTTAAGGAGCGAGGTGCTTCCTTGGAAGAAAACAAGCCATTTACAATTTTGCCTATTTCCCCCAAACTCTCAGGAATTCAGGGACAGAGAACAGGAATTCAAGAGCAGGTTGCAACGCTTGGCTTCTTTTGAGCAAAACCCCCCCCAAACTCTAGCAGCTGTGCAGGCCAGTGTCTGAGTCCCAGAAAGGCTGCAATACAGAATTCTAAGCAACTCTTTATGCCAGCATAGCTCACTTCACAAGAAGTGTATGTGCATGTAGACAGAAACCAGGAGAGAAATTAAATGCCCCTGCAAAACTGCCACTCCTCTACCAGTTTAGACTATCTCCAAATTTAAAAAAGCATCACTTTGGCAACAGACATCAACCATAGCTATGTTGGGTAAACAGGTGCAATACAGACCTGATTTATGAAAAAAATTTTAGTTGAGACAAATGACAAACTCCTCGTCATCACATTTTCTACGCTTCCTACAGAGCTGATTTTTTCACACATTACTTCTGTGCTCTCCCCACCACACACAAACGTACTTGACTAACATCAGCTCCTACTCCCCCCTTTCACGTGCACCTCTAGTGCTGGAAGAGATTTAATTTTCTTCCTCAAAACCAGAACATTTTAAATCTCCAATTAGCTTGTTTTGGTTTTGTGGGCTTTTCTTTTATTGTTGGTTTGGGGTTTTTTGTTTTGTTCTAGTTTTAAGTTGGGAACTAGTATTTCTGATTTTTGGGATACACTGGGTAGAGAAGAACAATCCACAACCCACAGGCACCATAAAATACAGTGAATAACCAAGCCATCGATTTCAACATTTGAATACTTTTCTTTTCTATATGCTTTTTTTGTAATTACCTTTTTTTTCAAGTAGCAGTGAACTGAGAACACTTAATCCACTGTATTTGAGTTTCAACCATAACTTACTTTTTTTTTGTTTTTTTGGTCAATCTGTGAATAACCTCAACCAACACGACTGATCTGCAAGTATGAGCTTGGACTTCTCCCTTGCACCGGAAGCACAGCCTTGCCAGCAGCCCTTTTAAAGTACTGCTGCCATGCACATGGAGTAAGAAGCTACAGAGAATAAAACAAAGTACTGAGAACTGATATTAAAAAGGCCTGGTCACTGCACGCTTTTGAAGACGTAACAGAAGAGTATGTGCATAAAGCTGGCAAAGGCATTTTGCTCAACAACAGCTTAAAGAAGTCAAGAGAACGTTTAACTGGATGTTACTCCTGATTCTAGCATGGGGTAGTGCAGCAATGGGACTTTCAGGCTAATAGGAGGACAAACACCGAAAAACATGGTGACAAAAGTATTAAAAAGAAGAGTCTTACAATAATATAATGAGATAGCTCTCCTGCAGCAATATTGTGAATACTACAATCTGCATTCAACCTCCTGAAAACAGATTTGTCTTTCTATTCCCTGACCATTTGTCACAGAAATGAGTCATGGTGGAAAGGGCTTCTCACTGTAAGCAGCACAGCAGCATGACACACTAAAGTCTTAGGTCAAAAAGTTCCTTTTCACATCCCTCTGTCTTATTCCCAGTTAATGCATAAAATAAGAGAGACACTGTCTTTTCTAGCAGGAATTTCTACTGCTTCAGAGAAACGTCCACCTGTCTGGCACCTGTCAAGCCCACCAAGAACACAGCCATATCAGCAATTTAACTCAGTACCACCTCTACTGATAGGAGCTCTCCATCCAAATACTGGGTAGAAAAAAAAAGCTATCCTCTGGTAAACCTTCAGGAGCCATTTCTGCGTGAAATAGTGTAGTTTGTAACCAAAGACCACTTCAAACTGATGTATGTTTTTAAACTGTAATGAAACATTGCTGGTATGAATACATACTGTATTTCAATTTTTAATTAAAAGTTTCCAGATTAAAAAAGTATTTTTTCCTACTTCATTTTCTTTCGCTTAAATTGCTAGGTGATGCTGGTCTCCTACACTTTACCATCTATAAAGCAGGAAACCAATGGAGTCCCAAATCCACTCTCTTGACACATAAATATGATGTGAAATACCACTGAGAGCAGCCACCCTACAACACTGCATGCCATCCAACCTCTGTTCTTCTAGCACCCTTCCAAATCCCTGATGAATAGGATGTAACTGCTGACTACAGACACCTCAAATATTTGCTGAGAATTGCTTGTACGTGACAAAATGAAATTACCGTAATTGGGATTAATAACAAAAGTGTTCATTCCCCAAAGATTGGTCATACTCAGTATACAAGTAGTGGTTGCAGGAAGAATTTTTCAATACGGAAATTCAAGAGATTGTAGGGGATATTTCATTATAACATGGTATAGTGCAATCACACTCAAAATGCTTACCTTAGTCTTCCTGCAAGTGCATTTTTAATCAAATCAATTTCATACAACAGCATTTTAGAAAAAAACAGTACGTATGCCTTCAACAAATACTGAAAAGTAAATTCCTCAGTTTTACGTTCTCAGCTGCATTTGCAGACACTTCTGTTTAATTGGCATTACCCAAAAGAATTCCAGACGGTCTAACCCATCTCATACCATACAAAAGCTGTAGGAAAAAAAAATTGTAGCTTGTTTTAAATGCCTGGAATCTCATCCCCTGAAGGCACAGCCAAATACTGAGCTTATCTGGTTTCAAACTGCTCTTCTGAATTGCAGTGTGTTTGATTAAAATTTGTCTACTAGAGATTCAGACACGACAGCACTTTTGCTGCCTGATGGTCCCAAAAGGTCTTTTTAACAGCCTTTAAGAAAGAAAATCACTGCAAATAGTTAAGGGTACAAAATCATATCCCCCTTACTTCCAAAAAGAGAAAAAAACCAAACCAACAACAAACCCAAACCCACAAACCCATGAACCCCCCAAGCACATAAACCCACCCCCAAACAGAAGACCCAGGGCTACCTGACAAGATGAGGCATGGACTGAGGAAAGATTAGAAGATGCAAGTGGCCCTCTAGAGGGTAGGAAAGCCACCAGAAGGAACTGGAAACAACCGTGTGGGAAGAAAACAAGCTCCCTTCCCTCAGCACTTTTGCTATTTCCAGCACAGTAATTCACATAAAAGTAAATACTTGCAAACACTATTGCAGATCTACTTGTAAAGCATCCCATACAAACGCTTAGCAAAGTGTTCTTAACCACGTGAATTCAGTGTAATTTAATTTGAGAAAGTAAATGATCTCGTTCACCCAAATACTTTGCATTAGATGCTGGGATTGCTTTTGCCTTTCAAAGGAGCGTTCACTGCTACAATTCAGCATTGAGTTTCCAGGCTAATGAAAGTGCATCTAGGCTAGTAAAACAGACCAAAACAAATCCTTGAATTCAAGTCCTGTTGTGTAATGAGGAAGTTTAATTAAGGCCACACATTACAGCTGTAAACGTTCTCTTATATAATAAGGTCTAAATGAAACTGAACCTAATCAAAGTTACAATTCCTTCATTAGCAAATTACAAACAAGAGCGCACAGCTGACACACCGGCTATGATTATCACAACTAATTGCCTCGTTGTTACAAACCAGCCTGAAACTGTGTTCAGATGTCCGTCTGCAGTAGCAAATTAGGGCCACATCAGGCTATTTCTGCGATCACAAGGGGCTCTTGTAGAGCGATCTGATTTACCCCGCCGACTGGCAGCACACGGCCCAATCAAAGCCCCCTCTACAAAGGCAGCTTTGAAGCCAGCACAGCCTAGAAACCCGCTCCATATGCAGGCCGGCAGACTGCACTTCATTAGGCCTGTTGTCACATTTTCCCTCTTCTTATTCTAATGATCCTATTTTAATACACATAGGAACCTCTCCTAATTGATGTCAAGTGAGTGACTTCCACATTCATCACCGGAGCACATCAAACGCCTCTTGGCGCACGGGCCGCCATCAGAGTGCTTAAGACCCGAGGTGTGTCCCCAACTATGGAAAGCAAAAAAAAAAAAAAGGAAAAAAAAAAAAGAAAAAAAAAGAAAAAGTATTTCGGCATTACCTGTTTAATTGGGATTGCGCGACCGCTTCCAATGCTATCTGTTCTGCTCTCCAGGACCTTCTTCTCTTTGTCTGGGTCACTCCCTTTCCGAGACTGCAGAGCAAAAAGAAAGTTTGTGCTCCATTAAATGTAGCAGTTCACACAGACAACGCTTTCTTTTTTTCTTTTTTAAAGCAATTAAAAAAAAGTATTTTGACACATAAATATAGACTCAAAGGGTGGGGGTTAGAGTCTATGAAAGTACACAACCATCCCAAAATCTGAATACTGAAATACCGCCTGTAATTTTCAACCATCCACTTGTTTGAAATTGCATCTGGTTTTAAAGAGTTACAGTTTCACTGCCTGAAGACCCAGCAGATCAGAGGACATGTTTCTGAAGTCGCCAATAGTAGCTCCAAAGAGGAATGAAGGTTCCAGCTTCTCATTAAAAAAATCTGATATATACATGCATACATTTAACTTACATCTGTGTGGTTTTCAGAATTCTTACCAACTACTTCGAAATGCAATTTTATGATGCTGGTTTTGATCATATTGACTTTTAACTTCTTATTTTTTTTTCTACTTTTGGATGTTTAGAAAGTTGGAATTGCAAGAAAAGGCAGGGACTGATGCTGGAAAAAAGCTATCTGAACACCGTTGTGTTCAAGAAAAATCAGCACGAGGAAAATTTAACCAATGTTTAAAACTTGAATTGCCTGATCTTGGCTTTCTGTAACACTAGCACTGCCCTAGGAGTAAGCTCACAGTGCTCACTTCATGACTTTATAAAGATATATAGTAATTTTAAGAAGTTATTCAGATTCCAGTCCATTATTGTGAAAGAAGGCATGAGCATAATGATTGTGACAGATTTATTTTATTACAAAAAGAAGACCTGAGAGTCATCCTCCTTAATAACTGAACTGACAAGTGACAACTTCACTCCATTACTTTTCAATAGGAACATTACTCACACAATATCGAAAATGGGAAAACATTTTCATGTGCTTTTTCAAATCAGAGATGATATATGAAATGAATACATCTGCAATGTCCAGTACCACAATGGGAAGTTAATGAAAACCAGAGCGACGTAAGATCCTGCTTTTCATTTTCAGTGGAGAGAGATGTTTGAAAGACACTGAAATTAGGAGAACGATTAGGATCGTGGACAGCTAATACCCATTTTCTGTATTATACGAAGGGGTGGAAGGAAAAAAAAAAAATCCCCAAAGCAGTTGCCTTTGCGGGCTAGAGGAGGGAAGGGGAGGGAGAAAACCCACGGAGGAGGACTTCAAGTAACACCATTCTAAGCAACACATTTACCCAGCAGGGATCCCATGCTGCTTTCCCCGCTCCGCCGGGAGCGGGCTCCTGTCACTAGTTACTATGGTTCGGGGCAATGGAATGACGTGCCAGGGAATTAAACAAAGAATAAATGAAAGAAAGCAAAACAAGTGGGAGGGATGAAATCCAATGTTCAGGATAACTATTGTTCCTCGTCCTTCAAGACAGATTTCTGAATCTGAAAGTGCCACTTCCCAATAATACAAGGCAAAACAATGCTTCAATGGCGCAAAGCGCCCGTAAGTGACATTTTAAAGAAACTCAATGAAGGTAGCCAAATCCTTGGGAGGGAAGTTGTCAACTTGAATGTTTCTTTTTTATTTGACTTTTTTAAAAGAAAGGATCCTGCCTCTGAAAAGCAAGCTCAATATCTACACACTTTTTAATTTTTATTTTTAAATCACCACGTCTTCCATTCCGTAAAAGTAACTGCATCTGGAAACAATACATTGCACATAGGAGGGAAATATCTATATGCAAAGTACTGTCAAATGCCAAAAGTATAGAAACGCAGGAATTTGTTAGACAAATTCTGTCCTAGCTGCTTGTAATCACAGAATACATAAAATTTTCAAGCGGAGAATCTTAGCAGGCTCCGCTATTTATAAAGACAAATCGTGCAGTAAAATAGAGATATGTTCTGATCTTTTATGCTTTTGTACCTATGACACACACAATGCATCTTATATCCTATAGTGGGAAAAAATAGACTCTAAACTAAACTGAACCAACATTTGCTAGGACTTTTTCTCACGTCACATCGACACATTAAGTCGTTCTATTTAAAACTTCTTTCAAGCAAACCAGAAGTCGTCCAAAAAAATTAAAACACCTGCATGAATGTAATTTGGCTCATTTCCCCTTTGCATTGCAAGTCATACACAGACTTACGTGAACATAAAACCTTACCCAAGTTAGGTCTGTGAAATAAGATTTAGTCCCAGAGGGATACAGCACCTGCGTCTGGGCACAACCAGAATCCAGTGTCAGCAGTCCAGCGAGCCCCAAAAGAATACTGATCTCTAATACTAGCTACTGAGACAGAGAGCTCATTTTGACTTTTAAAAAAGTCTTGCTTGCAATTCTGCAAAGATGTAAGAGGTAGTATTGAATATAGAAGCATCTTACTGTACCAGAAGTTCATTCACCCCACAGGGGATTGGACACACAGTACAATCAGTTCTTTGCTGAAGTAGATCTCACACGCATCTTCAATCCCCACCTGCACTACATAGTATGCGTTAGTTGTCCCTGTTAACACGCTGCACAAAACAAAGGACATTTACCCTTCTACTAATATTTGATCCATTTTATCACCTAAGTAGAAAGTCAGCCATTACAACCATAGCTTTACGGCAAATATTAATATTCAAAGTCAGAAAGATCAGATACTGCATTTAATGCACTTAAACATGAACATGCTTAAAATTGTTAACCCTATTCCAACTCAAAAGCTGTAACCAATTTAAGAAGAATCGTATCTGTTTTCTGCTTAGCCCAATTTTCTTCCAACACTAAAAGATCTTCATGTAGGAAACTAAACATACTACCTATGACAGATAACAAGAGGTAATTTGCAATTAAATGGAAATATACTTGACTCTGTAAGCAATACAGGCACAAGCAAGTAACAGGCTAGGAAAGAAGCACAGCAAGAAACCCAGAGCTAAACAGTAAAGTATTTTGATTACACACTCTGTTCATAACTAGACAGAAAATACTGGTCATCTATTTATTCAATTAAATAATTCCACTTTATAACTTGGCTGATATGGCATGAAACCTGGCTTACAGCAGGGTCAGTGTTAAATACTTCAGGACACGGATTACAGGGCAACTCATTACACAACATTCAATATGCCCAGATCTTAAAAGACAGAACTAATTCTCAAAAGTCAAATTATTATTATTATTATTTTTCCATAGGACTTGTTTTCCCCCCAATTTTTCCACAGTTATCAGACACTAAGACAACTATCAACATCCTCTCATATTAGTAAATTTTGTTCTCACTATGCTATTAATTATCACAAACTAGAGCTTTAGTCTACTTGTTTATAGCAAATACAGCTGACTTAACGTTCTTCTCAATCCTTTTCTGCAAGCATAGATAGGTATATTTTTCTCTATTCACTTTCTTAAATTTGCACTTACTTCAGTTTAAAACATTCCCAGTTTCCCAAATGTCAACAACATCTATACAGCCCTTATAGAATGTTATGCATCCTTCAGACCAGAAATGGTTGGCGAATGCTTTTGAGGGATGCTGTAGCATCTTGGCTCTATTTCCAGAAGAATTACTCTGCCAGCAGTTTATGGGCTGACACTGACACCTAGTGGGCTTGGTAACTCCTGAGTATGCCCTAACAACAGCGAGCGTTCCCACAAGCAGGAGGAAATCTGCACGATTGCTATAAAATATCAGCATCTAAATTGGACACTTTTTCACATGCCACTCATTTTTGCACATTTTATTGTTTCGTGCCTGGACATTTGCACCTAAACACAAATGCATGGCTTCCATTTCTTTGCAAGAGTTTGAAGATCTCATTTTAAACCAAAATATCACTGTCAGAACGGACACGTGAAATATGATCCCAGGGACTCTGTGGTGTCACTCAGCGCTCCAAAACGATGAGAAAACTTTCTGCTCGCTAAAGGCCAAGAGGTCAGATTTTGTTTAGAGTACAAGGAAATGGTTTTATCGTTTTTGTATGCAGTTCCCTGGAGCGAGCTAGTTCTGGGAAGTGAACATGACATCACCTTTGGAATAAAAAAAGTATAAATTCTTTATGATGACAGGGAAGCCGTGGCTTTCTAAATGCAACTAACATGTAGCTGCCAACACTGAGGGACTTACATTCATGTGAGCCTACAGGGATTCTGTGTTTGCTATAAAGCATGTTAAGTGTCAAAATACTACTTACAAACCTACAATTACGCACGCAATACAATCCCAAAGCTTTCAGCAAGACTGCTAAACTAAGGAAATCATCACTCAAGGCTTATTATCTCCAAACTACTTATGCATAACAAAGACCTATCATACTGGACCAGTCAAACTTTCTATTTCTAGTACATTTTTTTTGCCACTCAATGAAGCAAAAACCCAGATGGTTTGGGGGGAAAAAAAAAAAGTAATTTTTATCTCTGTCATCTCTCTTAACCTTGGAAAAGCGAGCTGAGACTGTATAGTAATAAAAGTAGCATGGTGTAGTTATTTTGCAGTGCATGGTATTCCCACGGTAAACCCTGAGAGCTCTCTACAAACACCGGAGACCTCACAAGGGAGCCCTGAGTCAGCAGCATTATTCAGTGTAAGGGCAGGATTGAGGAGCAGAGGCCCAGCTTTCTCTTTGAAGAGAAAGCCAAACCAGGGAATCTAGACAGGTCTGAGAATTAAAGTCAGACAAAGGATCCAGAATCCAACTGTGGATTCACTTGTTTCACTGCAATTCTCAATAGGATAGCTTCACTGTATTTAGTTTCTGTTAGGTCCTCAAACAGAACTGCCCCCATGGTAATTCTAAGATGTTTCGGGGGTTTTTTGACCCTACAGATCCATCTCGACACCCCCGTCTGGATTAGACTAGCTCAACTCGACAGGTTTGAAGTTCAGGCCGTCACCACAGAGCACTATGTAAAATACAGCAATAGTCTCTTCCTTGGCTCACTCACCGTGAAGAGGTTGGATCGGCGCTTGGACTGTTTACGGACAGGAGTTGGTGTGTTGGCAGTGGGAGGAACATCAATCCGTAGCT